AATTAAAATAATTCCACATGGGAAAAATACAAAAAAATATACAATTCAAGAGATTATTTGTTCAATCAATCTGAAGGTGTATCGAAATCCTCTGAGTCGATATCGTCATCAGTATTCGGATTTTGAAATTTAGGTATGTCCAATATAATTCCTGAAACAGAAAGTATAAATTGAATGATATAGGTTTTATTTTGAGGGAATTCCAGGGACTCTCAAGTTCAGGAAAATGCCTCGTGTGTCGAGGAGTTGAATTGGAATCTGTTTATATCTAGTTGTCCCAATACTGCAATAAAAAATAAGAACATTGTAATTGTGAATTTTTTTAATGCATGAAGAATACAAGAGAAATCCAATGAAGACAATATCAAAATACACGATTTTTCCTCTAATTTTCTACGAAATAGCTGTTCGTGGATTAGAGGATATTTTTTTATTCTCACAATGGGACAATTATCGCCAAGACGTAAATAGCGACAATTGAGTATGCACCACTCAGAGTACATAAGCTTTTTAACTCGCATGTACATGCTCGTTCTACGCATGCGCAACGCCTGCTAGAGTGAGACAGGTATCCTTGAAAATCTACCTCTCTCTGGCTCGTTTTCCGCTTACGGGCCTAGCATGGCAGTGCCCTTTCCAGTATATACTACATTTCAGTGCGTTCGACAGAGAATGACAGCGGGGACTTACACAACTCTCTCTGTCCATTTGGTGATTTTTTCAATACACGACAGGTATAAGGAACCCGCAGTCTAGGTATTATATAGAGGAGAATAGGGCAAAATGGACCGCAGAGCAAAAGGGACCTCTAGGGCAATACGGACCACTGACAGAAAATTGATAATTTTTGTTTTTGAAGCATTGTAATTGTGATTTTTCTTTATTTCTTAATTTTGGGTGAAAATGCTTACAAATGTCATGAAACGTGAGGAAATGATGTTTTTAAAACATGTCTGTATGTGTGTAGGTATGTGTGCGCACATGTGTATTCATATGTACAGAACTGTCCCCATAACCCCAGAATTATTGAGAGAAAGATGCTGAAATTCTGGCTGCTTATTGGTACTACTGAGACTCAAATTTGTGCTGAATTGCACAGAGATACAGCGATTCTTCGTAAATCATTTTTTTCTCATATCTCCTGAACCATTCGACCGATTCGATTTTTTGTTCAAAACCTCGTCATAATATTCCCTATTTAATTGGATTGAAAAAGACCATTACACCTTGAGTAATGTAGTTTTAGTCTCTTTTTTTAATTTTTTTCACTGAAATGGCTTGTTCGCACGATAACTTGAAAAATAATCGAGATAGAAACTTGAAACCTGCTACGATTTTTGGTCTTGTGGTAGAAAAGTTTGGGGTTCTGAATAAACCAAATCGGACCAGTAGTTTCAGAGATATTCAACTTTGTGTGTGAAAATCTTTTGCTGAATATCTCAAAATCTATTGGTGCGATTTCAATTTTTTTCTTCAAAATATGTGTGAGAAAGCCATATAACATGAATATATGGTTTTATTTTTTGGAAACACGCATTAGGAACCATTCGGAAGCCTACTGAAAGCCAGTGAAATTGGTAGAAATGAAAATAGGAGGAAAAAAAATACGTGGAGAGTAGCAGTCATTGTTGTGGCTTCAGGGACACAACAAATTTTTTAGTGAGTTTATTTTAAACGAGGTGTGGTGGGTAAATTAATGAAATGATAATGGATAAAATTGATGAATTGATAAATAAAACTTTGTATATTTTCACTGATTTTTTATGTAAAACACTTATAATTTACACTTTGTTGAATTTAATGAAAGATAACGAGTAATAGAAGCACGAGAATTTATTCAGATAGGCTTGATAATCTTTAGGCGATGTTATTCGGTTGAACGATAGTTGTTAATTAGTGAAAACTCAGTCTGAATTTTGGGGTATGAGTCTATGAGTGGAAGGGATGCTTGAGACAAATATGATTGGTGGATAATTTTGTCGTTATAAGAAGATATTTCATTGCTAAGTGAGAAAAATGGTGGGAGAAGGGGTGTTGACTGAGTAGGAGGGAAAAGGGTCCTCTGGGACTCAGGGGTATGTCAGGTATGGAGGATTGAAACGTGTCGCGTCGAGTCCCGAATTTTATTACGGTCGGGTTTTTATGCAGTGCAGAATACTGCAATAAAACAGTTCTAGAAGAGCATCACAATATGAGTATAAGGATTGAAGTAATAACTGATGGAAAAGGTTCAAGCTTAAAGTAATAAATGATGAGTAATAAATGATGGAAAGACTGTTTCCTTTCTTTCTATTCAAAATAGTCGTTTGAATAGAGAAAGTTTCGAGAAATATTAATAAACTTGGAAAAACCCGACATTTAGAGAGCAGATGTGCAAGGGATTATCTTTTTCTGTGAATTTTAATTTCGAATGTTCAATTTTATGTTTTTATGACTTAAAATGTGTTTTGGTACCGAACAGTCATGTAATCCGTCAAATGACTTCTGTCGCGCTGCTTGTTTCATGAATACATCATCCAATAACATAATAACTATTTACAAAATTTCATGTAAATATTGAACGCTATCCATGAGTAAGAAAAACAGCCAATGGCTTCTATCGCGCTGCTTATTTAGATAAAAAGTAAATATACAAATATCCGTTTCGTCTTTAGACGCGCAGATTCCTAGGAAATATTGGTTTTTCGAAGTCATTTGTGGTTTGAAGTGATTAGCAAATCTGATCGAATTGCGGTTCAATGACACTTCTTATCTATAAAACCCTTGTGATGGTTACGATTCACGAAACTCACTTTTAATTCAACACATTTAGGGTTCCTGATTTGAAGAGGAAAAAAAAATTAGCAATTTTCTGTCAGTGGTATGTTTTGCCCTAAGGGTCCCTTTTACCCTGCGGCCCGTTTTACCCTCCCGGTCCGTTTTGCCCTACCCTCCCCTATCTATTTAGTACCAACACTTTTTTTGTTCGCTTGATCTAGAGGCTTTTGTAACCAGTCTTGGTATCTCAGTGAATCATCTTCTTTTTGCTAATTATCAGTTAATGAGGATGATTGACATTCGAACCGGTACGCTAACAACCATCCTTGAAATCTTAGTCTTTTTTCAAGGGTAAGGGGAACACCTGTTTTTATTGATTTCTGATCGAATTAGGCTACTTCAGATGTCTGAGGGAATAGAGCCGGCCGTGGTCAAATGCATATACCCCTCCTGTGGTTGTCGTCGGGGCTAAAAAGCCTTGGTTGAACATGAAAATTACACAAATTGATGATTATCAAGAGTAAAAAATTTCGAATTGAATATTTGAAGAGTGACCTGAAATGAGAAATATTTGTCGCGAAAATAGATTGAGTTGTTACAAACAATTGTTATTTTCTGTGCAAGTAAGAAATCTCATTTCTAGCACAATCTAATCGTTCTATGCGATTATACGTATTTTCATCACTTGTGCGTAAAGCGAAATTTTACGCACGCTCAACGTGTGCAAAATCCCACTTTCTATACTTCGTCATGAGATGAGTGCATTTCTAACAGGGATCCCCATCAATATTAAATTTTTGTAATATTACAAGAATTTGACCCTTACATTAATGAAGGTTTAAAATATGTTGATTCAATTTTTCCAATAATATAATATTAATAATCTGATTTTTTACGAGTAATGATGTATTTAAAATTTGTTAATCTGAAACTGTAAATTTACTACTAAGTGAATAATTCAAATTTCTTGAAGGGGGATTTTCGATTACACAAATAATCTTCAATCTTCCTACTTCATTTATTGATTGATAAAATAGTTGAAAATTTGAATATTTGAATTGATGATACTCAAGTACTCAAAAAATTTCAAGAGTGATGTTATCTAATTAAGGGCTACAATATTTAACCGTAATAAAATATTACAAATTTGGCTATCCCTGATGTCTACATAAGGCTTAAAAAAACTTTTCTGGCGAATATGAGATTGCAGTCCGAGCCGAAGGCGAGGGTTACAATTATGTGAGCTAGAAAATTTGTTTTCGGCCGTGTGTAGAATAATATTGTTCATCACACTGACCTTAAAACGTCGTTTTACGGACACTTCGTGTTCGTCAAACGCCGTTTACGGACATTGTGAAGAAAAATTATGTTCGTCACTCAGTTGAAAAAAACTTTTCTGATGAGTGTGAGGGTCGTAGACCGAATCGAAGCCAATGGCTTCCGGAAGCCGAGGGAACAGCTATTTTGTCATAACGGCTGGAGGCAGCGATTAACGGATGCGTAGCGAGCATAGAGCGTTGCCTTACCGCCGGAATGGTAAAAAATAGAGAATGGAGAAAAATAGAGAATAGAATAGATGTGTTCGGTACTCGTTGGAAAAGTTTGACCCTTGGGAGGATAATACTCGCCTTCGGCGAACGCTACACACCCAGGGGTAAAAAAAACACTTACGCACTCGTATCAAAATATACTATTTCCTGCCGAAAAGTACCTTTTCATTTACTTGTAAACTGAATCGTCTTTTCGTTTACTTGTAAATGAAAAAAGGTACAGTTCGCTACTAATTGCACGTAACATCACTGACAAAAAATATACTTTGACATGTCTGTTTTTCAGCTCGTATGATTAGCAGTCCTCGGCTTCACCTCGGGCCTCCGACTTTACACTCGTGAAAAACCCTTGTATCGAAACACTTGTATCGAAACATATTATTAGCTTTCTTTTCTGAGCAGTCTCAGCAATGGCATTCCTCCCATCATTATTTTCCTTAATTTGCATTACAATTTGTATTGCTTGTTTCGTGAAACATTATCATACATTCATCACATCGATCGTTGAGTTGGTGCTGCTGCAATGTTATGAAGATCGAATAAAAAAGCTCCATTAGTTGCATCAATGTTTCTCAAATAACTAAAAATTTATTAACAATTACCAAAATTTAATGAATCAGGCCATTAATTAATTCAGAGTAATTTGTTTCTTCCAATTTACCTGTGTGCTGGCGACATTGGTGTTTAACGCAGAGGGTGAGTTAAAAATAGCAAAAAGCAAACGTCGATAAAAACGTTGAATTATGTGTGTCATTTCAGTAATTTGGTTTTTATTTGTCGGAGTGTTATTTTATTGTTGTATCCCTTTTTTTCCTTCTAATAGGAATCTCTAGATTTTCATTTTATTTTTATTCATACTCAAATCTTTTTATTCTTTTTTCGATTTTGGGAAGATTTTATTGCACTTGCGGAGGGGGGAAGTTCAGCAACAGACAATAACAATTTCATTACGATCACTGTGGCTGTTATCTAGCATTGGCTTTTGGTACAAAGGGATTTTATTCTGTAATTAAGGAGGTGACAGAAAAGTACTTCTGCTCCTACATTACACAATGGGAAAAAGCAATTGAAAGAGTACTTCTGAATGGGCAAAACTCATTCATTTATTTATTGCATAAACATGTTAGCGTATTCATATGCGAGTTCTAACCTTTTATCTCATGAACTATTACAAAAAATATTTTCCTAGAAAAATCATAATATTCTAAGAATTACTGAGTTGTTGAAATTGAACTTATGATTCTGTTAACTAACTGCTAAATCTAAAAATATCACAGAATTCTACAACTCTGGAGCAATTCACTGAAGAAATTTCAACGCATTCAAATCATCTTCGTATTGGAGTTTTAACCCCTCAGCACTCGCGCTATATGACTTGCTCTTGCAAAAATTTTCAGGGTATAGAGAACGTAGTCAAAAAATTAAGATTTTCGACTGAAACTTTTTGACAGTCTTAAAAATTCAGTATTTTATGTATTTTGACGTGCTGAAACCGAATATGTATTTGTTTTGCGAATACGTTAAACATTCAATAGTTATTAACAATTTAATAGCTTAAATGTGTTTATTGCTGCCATTTTGATTCGTATGCAAAAAAGCTTCCAGTAAAAAATGTTCTTTGAAATCTTAAAAAGACAACTTTTTTCAATTTTTTTAAATTCGTTGATTTTGGAGAAAATATGATAATTTATACTTGACAGGTGCTGAAATCTCCTCTAGTACTTTGAGTGGCTCACCCGTTCAGGCTTCTGATGTAAAATTAATGGCCAAAATAGTCGCAGAGATGAAAAAAGTTCAAACAAAAAAGTTCCATAGAAAGACACTTAATGGAGTGTTTCTTCATTTTTTAAAAAAAGATCCATTTTTGGCGGGGATTTTGCGTTTTGAATAATGTACGTACTCTATCGAGGTTTACCTCTCTGAGAAGCTTAAAGAGTGTCCTGTTTTACAATGGATTTGAAAAAAAAAGATTTTTTTATCATTAATACATACATACATAACTAATGATTATTCATATATAACTTTTTTTTTTACAGATAAGCAGTGCCATAAATTGTAATTAACAATGAGATGTGATTCTCATTTCTAGGGTTTAGTAATGCGATTGTTAATAACTATTTATGGCATTGCTTATTTGTAAAAAAAGTTATATACGAGTAATCATTGGTTATGTATGCATGTATGATTGATTTTAAAAAATCATTTTTTAATAAAAATTCATTGTAAAATAGTACCCTTTAAGCCCCCCAGAAAGGCAAACTTTGGCAGAGCACGTACATTATTCAAAACGCCAAATCTCCGCGAAAAATGGTTATTTTTCTAAAAATAACACTTCATTCATTGTTTTTGTATGGAACTTTTTCGTTTAAACTTTTTTCATCTCCAAGACTATTTTGGTCATTAATTTAATTTTGCGTCAGAAGCCCGACCGGGGTGAGCCAGTCAAAGTAGTAGAGGGAATTGCAGCATCTGTTAAGTTTAAATTATCATATTTTCTCCAAAAATCGACGGATGTTAAAAAATCGAAAATGGTAGTATTCTTAAGACTCCAAAGAACATTTTTTATTTGGAATTTTTTATAGGAATCAAAATGGCGGCAATAAATGCATTTAAACAATTAAATTGTTAGTAACTATTGTATGCCTAACTTATTCGCAAAAAAATTACATATTCGGTTTCAGGACATCAAAATACATAATAGTCCAGTCAATTTTGATGTTAAGCTCTAAAAAATTCAGCTGCCAATGAAAACATTCCAATCGATCCGTAAAAATATCCTGAAAAACATCAAAATGTTTAATCATAGTTCCAACCGGCAGGTATTCAAATTAATTAAAAACGATCGACTTTATGTGGCGTAACGCCAAGAACTTTAACGGTGCAACTTTAACTCATCCAATTGTCGAGAAAAAAATATCAACTTGTAGAGAGACAATTCCTCTACCAACTTGCACTAAAAAACAATGATCTCGGTTAAATAATTGCTACGTAAAAAAATCCTGAAATTTTTTAACCTCAAATGACGCTCAACAATAACATGATACTCCGAGGCCCGCCCCTTTTCGGCGTGCGCAACTCAAACACGCGCGATGCGCAGTAGGTTTGAACGTACGTTGCGTGCTGTCATACATATTTATCTGATTATCATATCGATTACTATGCAGATGAATGCAAAAAACACTCTTTAATATTGTTTCCAACTGTTTCACTAATTAAATTAAAATTTCTTTATGAATGAAAATTTTGAGAAACCCGAGTTCAAACCTACTACGCATCGCGCGTGTTTGATTGAGTTGCGCACGCCAAAAAGGAGCGGATCTCAGAGCCTCATGTTATTGTTGAGCGTCATTTGAAGTTAAAAAACTTCAGGATTTTTTTACGTAGCAATTATTTATCCGCGCTCATTCTTTTTTTACTGCAAGCGTGTCGAGAAATTCTCTCTCTACAAGTTGATATTTTTTTCTCGTCAATTAAATGAGTTAAAGTTGCACAGTTAAAGTTCTTGACGTTGCATCACATAAAGTCGATAGTTTTTAATTAATTTGAATACCTGCCGGTTGAAACTATGATTAAACATTTTGATATTTTCATTAGCCAGATTGACTGGACTGTAAGATACCGAAGTTTCAAGACTTTACATCGATTTTATACCTTTTCGCCTCGGCGCATGGACTACAAGCAACTTTCTTCTGGAGTCAAGAAAAACCGTCTAGCATGTTTCAATAAATTATAAAAAAATATTTTATCGAGCTCGGGTGAAGAGCATGTGAGATTCTCATACGGTGCGAGTAAAGTCGATCATGTGGCTCGCTCACATCGAGCGGTTCCGTGAGGTGTTCGGTGATACGCGGCAACTAAACCAAGCCCATGGAGAGCTCGGACCTCTCTGATTATCTAGAATTCGCGCAATGCGCCAGAGATTCTGTCTCAACGCGAGTGAAGGTTCTCCGTGAAATGGCGCGAGTGCTGACAGGTTAAAACATGATGAGTTGAATACATTTTTATTTATTACCCGGCATACTTCAACACCAAAACAGAATTTCATCGATAAAATCACCCAATATACACGATGAATTTCCTTAATTTTTTGATATATTGATTTTAGATCTTGTGTACCGGAATTGTAATCCTCCCATTCTAATAACACGATGTCGATATTGAATTCTACTAAATGGAAATATATCAAGCCACTTACACATTGCGCAATCTGAATCTCGAAGACGCGCCCACTCAGAAATAACTCTGATTTCCACTTGATTACAGAATCTATAAAATTACCCACTATTTTCACCTGTTACATTCATCCTTCAACTCGCACGTTCTACGAATCACAACAAAACCCCTCACCCCCTTGAGAACATTTCAAATTATTTTCCACCCCCAGATTTCACTGGATGACCTCCGGGCAGCGCACATTGCCGTGGAGAATGGCGTCGAGAACGGTCACACCAATGGTCTGGGTATCACCAACGGTCTGAATGTCCCAAGCGTTCTCAACAGAGCCCTGGAAGCGGATAGACGTCTAGGTCTCTACAGCTATACCATCGAAACCATAAATCTGCTGCTAATTCCCATGATCAACACTAAGAAGGAAGCTCTTGGATCTATGGGAAACGACGCTCCTCTAGCCTGCCTCTCCCAGTTTCAGCCTCTGATCTACGATTACTTCAAGCAATTGTTCGCGCAGGTAACGAATCCTCCGATAGATCCCTTCAGGGAGAAGATTGTGATGTCTCTGCTGTGTCCAATCGGTCCTGAGAGCAATATCCTGAAGCCTGACGAGCGCCAGGTTCACAGATTGTTCCTTCCAAATCCGATTCTCTCTCTGCATGATCTAGAGGTTATTAAACACACGAGCTATCGTGGCTGGAGGACTAAAGTCATCGATGTGACTTATGAGAGAGCGCTTGGACCATCCGGACTGCTCAAGACCCTTGATCGCATCAATGAGGAGGCTAATCAAGCTGCGAAGGAGGGGTACCAGTTGATCGTCCTTTCTGATCGTCTTGGAGGGCCTGAAAGAATCCCTGTGTCCATGGGGCTCGCGCTTGGATCTACTCACCATTTTTTGATTGAGGAAAGACAGAGGATGAAGGTGGGGTTGATCGTTGAGACTGCTGAAGCCAGGGAGGTCCATCACATGTGTGTGTTGCTCGGGTATGGAGCTGATGCCATCTGCCCTTATTTAGTACTGGAGATTGCCAGGGGACTGAGAGATGAAGGGGTTATTGACTCTGAGATGACTGACGAGATTATGGCGAAAAACTATGCTGAGGCGATGGAAAGGGGACTGGCTAAGGTCATGGCAAAGATGGGCATCTCGACACTTCAGTCGTACAAGAGTGCCCAGATCTTTGAGGCTGTGGGATTGGCTGATACTGTTATTGAGAAGTGCTTCAAGGTGAGGATTTGTTTTAAAATTTTCTAAACTCGTTGAGCATATCTGAATAATTGGAGCTTTTATTTGAAGTGGTCCTCTATCCACTGAGAAACTAATGGTTTTTTCCAAATCGTAACGTTGTTTATATTTTCTAACCAATTTTTATGAAATACAAAATACAATCTTCGGGAAATTGTTCGGCTATTAATCATTCTTAATTTTCCAATAAATATTTCGGGTTAAATAACCACGAACCGAGTGCCTATAGACTCCATTCAACGCTAGCGAGATACAACAATAATAAGAAAAAATTACCTCCTAAAAAATTACCTTGCCATTTAATTAAATCTAATGTTACTTATCCAAATCGGTTCTGTTCAGGCTGTTATGTTCTATCTTCTATCTTCAATAATTAAGTTGACTCAAACATTAATGCAAAAATAATGATGGAATATCCAATGAATAGAAAATATGAGAATTACTCTACGATGAACGATATCAAATTGTTCGCAGCTTTAATAATTAATTAAATTCAGGTTTTTCGAAATTTAATTCAAGCTATTTGTTTCCCAACTAGAACTGAATTTCCAAGAGTAAAATGCTACTTTGATTATAGTTGAAATTCCGGTAAAATTCAAATAAACAAATTTTGTTATTTCAAACAATAATTTTCGAATGTATTCATGTAAATATCCCTTCTTCGAAATTGTTTACAATTAATTCAATTGTAATATATCGCGCCCGATATATTATCACACAGCATTCATCACTCCAAACCGCATGAAAAATCGCATAATATTCAACACGATATTTTTGAGTGAATCTTCTTTCACAAAAAAATTATAACTTCAATGATTTCAGAATTTATCAGATGTAATTTAAATTAAGATAAGAATTCGGATTCGGGTTTTTATTCCCGAGATATTTATCCATTATGAACTCTCTGAATATTCGCACAGTTGACACGCGTTTTGGCCCCTCGAAAATGGCGTCATTGGTTAAGCCAATTACATAACACCAAAACTCTAACTTTCATTGTTTTCCCGTTCTCGCAAAAATCCGGGTTTTTATGCAATAAATACTAAGCACTTCGAATCGCTTTAATAATGTTGCTCACTAATATTTCCGACACTCTGTCACCGGTAATTTTAATACAAAGGTACTTACAGACACGTGCGTAGAGTATCGGCTATCGCTCTTTTGATATTTTCCTTTGCCAAAGAGAAATTCTTACTTTCCTTGCCTAAGGGAAGAGTCTGGTCAGCTAACTCCACTACCTCATAGGCGAACTAATTTACTTAACCTAAGGATTTCACGTATTCCCACGTGATTTACGTGTCACCACGATGGAGTCGTGGCGACGACAATACCCAGAGTGATAATCCTCAGTACGATTTCTTCTGTCCAGCTCTTGGTTTCTTCTTTCTCAATTCTCTCAACCAATGCGAAAATTCATCGTTGGTACTATTATAATATACGAGATCGATCGCGCGTGCTACGCACGCATCTTCTCATCTCCTCACGTAGTGGCGCTTCGGTTTCAGTCTTACGGTGACAGTGATTCGAGATTTTCGAGATATATCGAGATCGATTTCCTTTCTCCTTTTTACGATAGGATGGTAATAACCTTCATTGATTATCTTGTTGATTGGGCAATCTATTAGACTGTCACGCCGCGAAGATCAGGATTGACAATGGATTCCCCTATATCCTGGTTCTGGCTCCGCATTGGTTGGATAGTTGACCCAAGCACCGTCAATTTTAAGGGTAAAAATCACTAATGAGTTGGGTCAACTTGTCAGCGGTCACAATTATCGGGCTCACTGGTAAACTCAGCAAGGATCCTGGTTATTGACACGTCCTTTCCTCCTGTCAGTGGAATTGGGGACGCTATAAATCCATGCGATACCTGACAGGCGCTGACCGCACTAAAAAATGGTGGGCCAATGGTTTCAGCTACCCGCTCTATTTGATTGTTTTGGCAGTTGACTTGTTGCTCCAAAACATGAATGCCTCACCAAAAACTCCGGAGAAACGCAAAAAAAGAATAATTACAAGGAAATATTGTGTTAAAGCAGGGCCGGCAAGTTCCCTCTGGCGGTATGGAGAACTTCATACCCGAAAAAGTATGGGAAAAAATTGTTTTCAATTTGGGGAGAAAAATTATTCCTACAAAATACCTGCAAGTGGACCAAACCTAGCGATCAAGTTCGAGGGTCGAGAATAATTGAAAAATCGCGCGGTGTGCGGCAGCGCCTCCGTGGAATGATATTTGAGACTTTTCTCTCCTGCTATCTACGTTCACCAATCAGATGACTTGTGTGAATCGTGGCAGGGACGTCGCATCTAGCTGTTTATGCCGAGTCTAACGTACAGTCTTCCCATAAATTTTGTTCCACGAACCTCAACTGAACGTAATCCGTTATTGGTTAGTCAAGAGTATCCCTCATCTCTCATTGGCCATAGACCCCTACTCAGCTAAGGCTAGTAGGCCAGAATTTGTTTTGACCATTGTATACTGTATTGGCTCTCTTCACTACCATCGTGTCGAATACTGCGTTCCTGCATTTTGCACTCTAGATGAAGTACGATGGACAGATTCATCTTTAAAAAACCCAAACGACAGGAAGAGAATGATCCAGTTTTATCAGACCCTTCTCTCCATTCAAATGCGACTGAAAACAGTAATGAAAATGCAGGTGAGTTAAGTTTCCAGAGTTGGAAAAGATTCCTAACCACTGAACATGCAATGAGATGAAATTATTCTGTTTCATCACTGGCCTTTAGGATGATTCATGATGTCTATTGTAGGTAAAATTCGACCAAAAAAGTTTCCAGAATGGGAGAAGAACTATCCATGGTTACGTTTAAATGAGAATTCTAAAGCTGTATGTAATACGTCTACGGAGGCTGTGAATTGTAAAATGCCTTTACCAAATGACAGTCATGCAATATCATGTCGAGACGCGTTTGTTGTACGTGGCTTCGATACGAGAAGAGTATATTTCATTGCAGTGCTGTAAAGGCTTCAGAGGACGTGAAGAAAATTAACGTGAGGCAAATGATGTCAAATGGTATCCAAAAAGGAATACAAGAGGCAAGAGCAGAGCTGTATAAGATATTCGGTACTGTCAATGTTCTGGCTTAACAAGGGTTGGCTTTCCGGGGTGATGGCAATGAGGAAAATTCGAACCTAATGCAAATACTAAGGATGAGAGCTGAAGACATGGCTGAACAGGACTGGATTTAAATGGATTTTTCACGAATCGATCAATGAAATGCTTCAAATCATGGGCGAGAAAGTTATGCAAAAACTTTTGACTGACATCAAAGCTGCAGGTTTTTCCTCCTTGATTATTGATGAAACGTCCGATATAACGAGATGTGAGCAGATCTCTGTGTCGATTAGAATTGTTGAGGAAAATTTTGCTATAAAAGAGATTTTCCTTGGATTTTATGAAACAAGCAATACGAAGGGAGAAACTCTATTTAAAATTGTAATGGATGTTCTCAAACGATTTGGACTCGAAGTAGACAAGTTAAGAGGTCAGTGTTTCGATGGGGCCCCTCCAATGTCAGTGGAGGGCTCACAGGTTTACAGGCAAGAATTGGTGATGTGGAACCAAGGGCATTATATTTTCATTGTGGTCCACATAGGGTAAATTTGGCTGTCCAAGATGCCATGGAGAAGGTTTCTTGTGCCAAAGAGTTCTTTGGAATTGTTAGAGAACTTATCACGTTTGTGAGAGATTCTCCAAAGCGTTTAGCGATTTTCAAGGACCTACAGTCAGATAATGCTCTCATTCTCACCCCTTTTTACCCTACCAGGTATGTAAAATCATTATGGAAATAAATAATAGCGCTTCATTCATTGGATATTCTCATTACCAGATGGTGTGTGCGAGTCAAATCCCTCAAGACACTTCACATAAACTATCCAGCACTCTTGGAATGTTTCTCCCTCACGACATAAGCTGAAGAATCGGACCCAAGTGCAATGGCCAAAGCAAGAGGGTTTTCAGGTCGACTAGAGAGGTTTCCATTCTATTTTATGTTGGTTGCAATGATCAATATATTTGACAGGGTGGAGGTACTTAACGGACAGCTTCAGAAAATTAGTATGCACATCACTGAATCCTACGAGAAAATTATGGCTGATAACGAATCTCTTAAACAGCTGAGAAGTCTGGGATTTGAAGAAATGTGGAGGCACGCAGTTGATGGGGCGAAAGGCCTGTTTCTCAATGAGCCAAAAATTCCTCGAGTTCGAAAAATACCAAAACGTCTCGATTCTGGCTCAGCTGCCCATCAGTTCATATCAGCAGAAGATTACCATCGCGAAATGTACTTCGAAATTCTCGATCAGGTGATTTCTTCATTGACCCATTGTTTTTCGACTAAGGAAATGAAATTCTTGTGTCAAGTTGAAGAGTTCATCATTGGAGCAGAAGAAAATGGTAACAAAGTTCCAGTCCTCCACATAACTTCTTTCTATAATCGAACGATCGAGAAGAATGAAGTCATTGAGGAGCAAAGTGATTTTGATGTTTCATGACATCCTGCAGGAGAGAAATGTTAAAGTCTTCAGTCTCATGGACGTGATTCAGTTCCTTAGAGAAAATCCTTCAGTAGCCTCTTTACTTCCTCAATTTGCGAAATTCATCAGGTTAGTTCTAACTGTACCCCACTCTACCTGCACAGCTGAGAGGTCATTCTCAACGTTAAGAAGATTGAAAACGTATCTACGATCAACAATGAAACAGACCAGACTCAATGCTATTTCAATAGTGAACATTCATCGCGAAGAAATTGCAGAACTGAATCTCGACATAATAATTGATGAATTCATTTTGAAAAGTAGAGTGAGGACGAATACGTTTGCTCTGTCCAGCCAGATGAAGAAATAAAACTGATATTTTTCAATACCCATTGGTCGACATTTATTTTTATCGTTTACTTTTCTATCTACACATTTTTTTGGATCTTAAATTTAACCATCCATGATTTCTGGACGATGAAAA